TGCCTTGTTTTTTTGTTTGAAAAAGCTTTTTTTAGTTTGAGCATGTAATGGAATTTGATTAGTAACAACAGCTCTGTAAATTCTTTCTCTTCTGTGAAACCACGTTTGTCAAGAATCAAACAAATGCTGATTCAGTAATAATCTTGGTAGTAAATGTACAGTTGCTCAGTGCCTTTGGAGAGGGTCTGGATAATGAGCCCTGTTCACCAGCAGCTCTTCTCTGGATGTTTTTAAGTACAGAACCCCATTTTGGGAAAATATTTTTAAATAAAACATTTGTATTCTATTTTTTCAGAATAACCATACATTTAAAGCATGATCCTTCAATTGCTATGTATATATCAGACTAGGTGACTTCTACGGTATGAGCTGTGATCTGCTCTTCCACTGCAGCATCATCCAATGAATTGATGAGACACATGATGCACCTTCCCCAAGCAGGCAAGTTAGAGCCCTGGTTGCCACCTTAAAGGCTGAACTGAGGGTTCAAAGCTAACTCCCAGTACTTGAAAAGGAAGGGCTGCTTCCCAGTGGACCTTAAGAGAATGACAGTCTTTTCAAACCCGTCTTCTCATCTTAAGACTGCTCCTCTCTATCAGTTCTCCCTTGCCCAAACCTGCCCATGAGAATAATTGTGCAAGGCCAGACAACTCTGTCCTCTGAACGAAGCCACCAAGTGTTTGTGGGACTGTGTCTGATGGAGAGGCTGACTTAAAACGGGGGAAGACACAGGCTACACAGGGCATGAGGAAATGTTTCTGTCCAAAGAACATCCCATCCAAACAAAGCCTTTGCACAGACTGGTTTGGGTCACAGAAAGAGCTTATTTTGATGTTATTTTGATAGAAATGTTCCATTTTCCTGCTCAGTCTTTTCTTTATCAGCATACTGTCATATGACCCAAGGCCAGCAGTTTAATTATGTTTAACAGGGTTATTATCTTCTTGAACCTTTTACCGCATTGCTTTTAAATATGCTGTGTTCTAGGTTTTTTTAGGGTTGCTGTCATCTGCTCTCTTGGCTGATCAGTTCTCTCTGATTCGCTCTACTTCCAATCTTACACCATAGCACTGTTGCCATTATTTTGGGTGAGAAGGTAATTATTGTAAAATGCTTTTATGGTGTTGTCAACAGAGAAATTTTTGCCTTTCCTTTTGCATCATAATCTTTATGGTCTGAGATTTTTCTCTGCTCCCATAAGGGACTGTCCTCCCTGACCCCAGAGCAGAAGCAGATAATACCAAACCCAGTGCTGCTTCTTTGTATTTTGTTTCTTATTTTCAGCTTTATCTCTTCACTAGGCTCAGTACTGTCTCTTCCTTGCCACTTCAGAAAAGGTTTTTTGGTTTGTGCTCTCCCCTTACCCCAAACCCTTTTACTGCAATCTGTGGAACCCCAGCAGTGACAGGTCCCCAGTCTGATGTCCCTCCATTCTCTGTAACCCTTTGTGCCTGACCCGTGAGCCGGCTGCTCTCCCATCACATGGTGTCTTTATCCAGCTGTGAGCTGGACATCTTGTGTAGAAGGACACTGTGAGAAACAGCATGGAAAGCTTTACTGAAATCCAAAAATCTCATTATATCAACTGGCTCCCCTTGGGTTACCTTGTCACAAAAGGAAATCAGGTTTGATGAGCAGCACGTTCCTCTCATGAAGCCGTGCTGGCTGTGACCAGTCACTGCACTGTACACAAAACACATTTTTCTCCCTCCAGACCAGGACCTCCAAAAGCATCATTGTACTGCTGGGTCCAGTTTCAAGGCCAGAAATGCACTCAGCTTTCTCTCTTTCAGCTGACTCAGTGCCACCCCACTCTCCTGCATCCTGGGCTGAAAGAGCAGCCCAGCACAGAGATGCTGCAGCCTGTGGCATGTGAAACACGACTTGCAAACTTCTGCTCCAGAGCAGTTCACAGGGTAATCAGATGAAACACTGCAGTTCCTGCCACACAGATCTTTGCTGACTGAAGCAGCAGAGCAGTACTAAGCAGGTGAGCATGTATATCACTGCTTAACCAAAAGCAGATTCTTTCCAGTCTACCCTTACAAAGAGATTATCATCATTGCACAGTACAAGTTGATATTTTAACATCTTAAATACAAAGTCTTCGGTACAGCTGATGTACAAATAAGTTTCTATCCAAGACTTGGTTTTGTTACACAATTCCACAGTGTGAAAGAAGATAGGGACCTGACCCAGAGTGTAAAGTTCAATTTAGCATAACATGTCTGGTCAAAGGTGGCACTAATTAATCAGACCTATTTGGCAGAAAGGATTCTTTGGTATCACTCAAATCCAAGGTGCTGGGATAAACAGGCACATCTCTGGAACACAGGACTTTCTCTTAAACAGAATCAAATGTGACCCTGTTATCCTCAGGTGATGGAAGACAAACCAGAATTGTGGTCAGCCCAGCCACTGGAGCCAGCCCTTCCCTCTGCCTTGGTAGGACACATGCACTCTAAACATTAGAGCGGCCGAGATATTCTTGTAACAAAATGGCTTCATGCATCCACTTAAAAATACATAAAATGGAAAAGTAGAGTGCTTTGGCCTTGGGCAAGGTGAAATACCAGAAATGTAATGAGTTAAGTTACCTTCCAGGCTTGTGTGGAAGTGCTAAACCTCTTCAAAACACAAGGTTCTTACACAAATACCATTTATTCCAATAGGACACACATTGCTAAATAAAATGAGTCACTATGAATGAATCAGATTGAGTTGAAACAAAGTAGAAGCTTTTTATAAACTCAAAGCATATTGGGCAATAACTAAAATGCCTACAAATATTCAGAGTGCTGGGTAAGAATGAATTTCTGCCACCTTGCAAGAAGTATTTTTTTGTATCTTAATACTTATGGCCAAATAATTATTTTATTTTGATTTTCACTAATGGAGATGAGACAGGAGCTGTGGAAAAGAATGTGATGAGAAAAGCTAAGATTGTAATATTGTTTAGTTTGGGAAAAGGGAAAAGCAGTATTTTATTGCAGTTACAGCAACAACTACAGCCAAAGATTAGCTGTGCTCATTTTGAGACTGCACTTTGTGCACACAGCAATTATGACAATTTTTTTAGTAAACGGTAAATGAATGGCTATGAAATTCTCTAAACAGAAATTTAAGAAGCACCATTTTAACTTTTTCTTTTTTTTTAAATTAGGCATTACAGAAAATGGAATAGGCCATTCTGCCTTGCTCAAACCATTCTAATAATTTTGTTAAATAAGAGAGGGAATATTCAATTTAAAATGTGCAAAAGCTAATATTTACATTGTTCAGTATATAGAGGCAGGATCACATTAAGAGAAACTGGAAGAAGAAGAGAATAAACTGTTCTTAGAGTCCACTGTAGATAGAACAAATATTAATGAGCTTAAACCATAGTAATGTAGTCAGGTAAGATTTTAGAAAAAAATCTTTGTAATGATAGAGCTACTGAGGCATGGGAAGAGATAGCACAGGGAAGTCATGGAAGTAGCTCCCTGGAAAAGATTAACTCTATTTTCACCAATGTTTATTTATAGCTGAACTGCTCTGAGACAAACTATAATTACCTTCTCAAGTCCTCTCCAGACCTGTTTTTTAACAGTTTTAATAAAGCAATTGTTAATGATTTCACCTCACACACAGGGCCTTTGTCACTTGGCATTGTAAGGGATATGCTGATTGCCAGAAACAATTCCTGCCATAAAGAAATGAGGACAGACGGAGATGAAACAGATTTCTCCTTTCAGTTAACTGCTCTCTATTTTTGTATTTTTCCCCCATTAACTATATAAGTTTGAGAGAAACCAAATGGACAGCACACATAGAGAGCAGACAGTGGATACAGTCAGGCTTTGCATCAGAATGCACTGGTCCCACTTGATGCAGGGACTTGCTAACTAGTATTAATTTGGAAAAGAATTGTGCACAAGGGAGGGAGCTGGAAATTCAAATTACACATTTAGGTTATATAGCTGACATAGAAAATTATTGTTTCCAAGAATTTTAAATTTAATTATTTATTTTGTTGCAGTCCTTGCATTGACAAGCCAGCTGGATCTCCTACATGGAATATCATCACTGCCTTCAGGAAAGATAACCTTTTCTTACACATTGCCATGTACACACTTCTGCTAAAGACAGGGTCCTGCAGCTGCTTGCTGCCCACCGTGGCTAATGGTCCACATAATCTGAGCAGCATTCCTTGAGCACCACGTTCACACTGAACTCCCAGCAGCTGGAGCAGCTGTGTGAAGTGCAACCTCCGATTACTAGAGACATCATTAAGTGAGTAATTAAGAAGCTGAATCTCTCCAGTCTCTATCATTTCACCTACTTTTAATAGAATAGCTCTTCAGCTGCCTTGTCTTTGGGGTATATCTACTTTATAATGAATTCAGTCATGTATTTTACATGTAATACTGCTGAAAATATTGTTTTGCTACATCTGTGCAATAAACTGAAAAAAAACCAGAAAGTGATACAAGTATTAAAAGAATTCAAAGTTAAGTCAGAAAAAAGACAAAAAGACATTTTTCTGCCATTTGCCCACAATGTGTAGGACAGGCTGAAAGCCCTGACAACCAATGTCTTGAAATTCTGGAATAGAAATTCCTCCCTCCTTCCCATGAAAGTTTGGACTTATTCCCAAATACTTTAAAAATAGTTGGTTTAGCATAAGATCACAGCTAGAAAAGTTCTGCCAATCCTTCTGTCAATTAACTATTGTGGATGATCTTGCTGTTTTGTTATTAATACTAGGATTTAGTCCACAGATTTGCCAATTACAAACCTCAGTATTCGCTCTCAGATCCAGTCTCAGCCCCAAACCCCAGAGACTAAATGATTCCAACCCCTTAAAGTAAACATAGAAGAAGCAGCATGTTAAAATCTAGTGAAAAATCTCAAGTTTAAATTTTGTCTTACTTTTTTTCCTTTGTGATACAGGCATTTAACATACAAAATTCATCTGTAAGCAATCAAAACCACAGGTGAAACACAAGAACAAAGGATTTACCTAGTGAGTCATCAAAGTGCTTTATTTTATAAAGCCTTGCTCATGTTTGGAGTGTAATCTAAGCACTAACATACACAATAATGAGCCTTCCTTGCCCTGTCCAAATAAACAGTTTATCAACAAGAGCGAGTGACAAAAATGCTACACAGACAAAAATAATGCTTTGCTGTAAATGTCTAAAATGGTCTAAAATGTACACTCGTTGGCCGCAATTAAATATGTACTCTGAGTACCTTATTTTTACTCCAGGGTCTCCCTGTGGCCTCATACCTTCAGAAGCTTCAGAAAACGAAACTTGGGTGAGAACGCAGACAACCAGGGTGTTTAGGGAGAGGACAAAAAAAAAATCAAGCCACAGTACCAACTTATTTAAATACATACAATACAAAAGTATACACATACATTACAGTGCTGCAGACATCACTAAGTCAAACGTAACAAAAAACCCTGTGGGAAAGGTTGGGGAAAGGAAGAAAAATTAGTACACAGCAACAGGGATAGTATTGCCTTTGGCCACTGGAAGTGTCATGAAGGGGTTGCTGTTGCAGGGGCTCCTCTGAAGTGAACCACAACACAGGTTATGCACAGTTGCAGGCTGAGCAGCACTGACACTGGTTATGGAGAAGGCATGCTGGCACTCCTGATCCCAGTTAGAAACAATGAGAGGGAGGTTTGACTTCTCTTATGTTGCCTACAAAATCTAACAATTTCAATAAAGAAATTTTAAAGGCACAGCTTTAGCACAGTGTATAAGTAGATAAACTTTTAAGCATATGTAAATTTGTCTCTTTCAAGCATGGAGTCTTTCAGGGAAAAATACAAGAGGAGAATGAATACAATGTTGTTTAAAAATTTTAAACAAGTTAAACATGATCAGCACAGTTTCAGGCAATGTACTATACAATCAAAACTGAGTCAATGGTAGGACAGGTCATTTTGATACTGAAAGACAAGCTTGGGAAAAATCCCTCCAAAATATCCTTTCGCATTTTATTGTAAAAGAGTCTATCATGGAGGTGAGCGAGACATTCACTTTAGTACACTACTGCATATTACCTCTTGGAAGATGACAAACATTACTTCATTTGTACTGCAAAATAACTTTACATGTAAACTCAAAAGTCTTATATTGTACACGGCTCTGAAATTCAGAAATATCCCTGCTTTCCTAATAATGTAAACAGTAAAATTCAGGGTTCATTTTTCAAGGGATAATCTATAATAAAATACTGCTATTTCAACAGTACAACATAAGCATTTAAACTTCAAATTCCCAGTAAATGACAAGGGAACGGAATTTCTATCAGTGTGCACATTTTTCAGGATGGGTAGAAGATGAAGCTACTATTGCCCAAAACTATGCACTTCTTCAGATAAGCTACTTTTACACTTGTAACATTATTAGTTCCTATATTGCAAGAATATAAAACAAATGAAAACTTCAGGTAACAAAGAGAAATAAGCAAAGTTTTCCCTTAATGTAAGTTTACTATAGCAAAAATGTACACATAGCATGAATTATGTTAGCTCTTTGTAAGGTAAGAGATGCCAGCTCTCAGACGTCTGAGAGGCTGAACTTCCTGATACAATGTGCTGAAAAAGAAGACAAAAAATGGGAGAGGGAGGAAAGAAAAGGAAAAAACCCAACTGCTAGGAACCAAATGGGAAAAGCCTCCGGCACCAAGGGCTGTTGCAGCTGTGTTTTTAAGGAGTGCCAGTGTGCAGGGTGTAAGTGTAACATTCGCAGTAAGGTCTTCATTATTATCACCATCATCATCATGAAGAATACTGTCATGTATCTTTTTTCAAAATATAAACTGATCCACAGTTTACAATTTGATATCAATATTGTAAATTTAACATGCATTTACTCTTCCCCACCCCCACCCCACACCTCTTTGCTCATTTATTCCATTTCAGCTGGTAGCATCAGAGTATTACTGTCACAGTGCACTCTGAGTAAGCTGTTCTATTTATTTAAATTATTTTAAATTTTTTTGCACACACAAAAGAGTCAGAAATAGCTAGAACTATGCTGGGAATATCAGGCAGCTGTTAAAGCGAGTACTCCACCCCACTTCAGTCATCTTTGCCAGCAGATGTAAACAAAGGGGTTGCTTTCTGTAAGATGAGTGCTTCTCTGAGTTCCTTTTTTCCCCTACACTTGTAGCCACTGCTGCTGTCCCCAGGTCTCGTGTCTGTCCTATGTAACATGATAGGTTACGTCAAGATGTTGGCAATAAAGTCCAAGAAGCGCTTTGAATACTGTTCTGGGTTAACAGTTGAAATTTCTGCACCAGCCTATACAGAGAATTGGGACAAGAGAAGAAAGAAGGAAGAACCAGTGTTTTATTTGATGCTTTTGTCATTGAGGATGTTAATAAATTTCATGTGCAATTTTCAAAACCAGAGACTAGAAACATAAACTGTAAATTGTGTCCCTCAAGCAGAATCTTACTGGTGCCTTTTTAGGCTTCACAGGAGCACACTGATAATCAGTACTCACTCCTGTGACAGCTATCTTCCATTTCTGAAAAAATTTATTTTTACTTTCCATGCTTCTCTTTACTTTCATTGCACTTCAGTCTTCTGTATGAATTTTTACAGCACATTAGCCGTGCTACCCACTGATTCACCAGCAGATTCTGGTCTCTAGAGCAGCAGTGCCTTCATACAGAAAACACTGAATTGCCATACTTATATTTGGCATGTCAACAGTTGTGCAACATGTATTGTTATCTGAATGCTGCATAGCCTGGTTTGAAATACATGGTAAGAGTAACACCTTTTCCATGTTTTTGGACTCACTGAATAAGCCATACCATTGTTATTTCAATGAAGTCATGATTTCATTAATATTTTTACTTGAATTTTTCAGAGCCATACCCACATTTTTATTTATATTTTTCCTGTTTTAGAAAAGAGGCAAGTTGCATGCATGCAATTAATGAATGAACTTCGGTCTCATGTGGCTCAGGATGCAGACAGAGAAATAAACAAAATGAATGTATGAAAATAATGTTCTGTAATAAGTTCTAATCACAATCAGCTTCAATAATCATAGCTGTTACTCACAACATATTTCTATCTGTTATTTAAGTCACAAGTGTGAGTTTTTAAAGTCTGCTACTTTCAAAGTTCAATAGTAATTGCCAGATAATGGCTGCATATGTTCTGCATCAACTTTCAGCTGCCCAGAAAGCAGAGAATAATGAGAGCATTGCTTTAGAGACTCAAAAAAATACCTCCCACAGGCCTTTGCAGGTCATATCATCCTCTACTGTAACTAAAAAGCCCAGAGCCCTTTGCCTGAAATTTCTCACAATGCCCTGACCCTTTAGATACTTAGACACAGGAGGGATTTAAGCCTCATGAATGAATATGCTCTTTTAAAGAAGTTTACGAAATTTGAATGTTAAATCACCACAGGAGTGATAATAGTAGACATAAATCATAAATCTGGAAGACTCGGCTCTTTCACCACGGTTCTTTGGTGTCTGCTGCTAAGCAGCAATTTCAGTCAAAATTAAATAATGGCAGTCAAGCAGAAGTTTTCACTGAACAGTCTCTGAGTATTTAATATGTAAACGATATTTTTATGCCTGATTTTGTAAATTGTACTTTTTTTCTGAAGAAGTATTCTAGAGTGAGCCACGTTATATGCTGAAGAAGTAACTTTCAGCAGGCTGTACCCAACAATGAAACCATCATTAGGGCCCTGCATCTGAAATTAGATTAATGACAGCTTTCATAGAGTGGTGAACAGCTTTGTTTGCAAGAATAAGGTGCATCTCACAAATTTAGGACAAAGTCTTAAAAAGCATCTCACTAGAGTTCTTTGTGGGTGAGAAAACTATACACACAGCTGAAAAAGGAGTTCCACTCTCAGTATGTAACTAGGATTTATTTCACCTTTCCCTGCCTTTACTGAACTGTCTAGTACCAGGGCACTAAACAAAAATGCATGAATACAAATGGAGTAAGAGGAAGAAACCAACCCAGATACTTACCCCATGCTTTACTGTCTTTGCAGCATGGGCAGCTTTCTTTTTTGCATCATAATGAGTAAGAATGTCAATAATGGCCATGAAGTACACCTCCTTCCTGGGAGCATCTGCCAACAGCAAACAGGGCAGTAAGAAGGACTTCTGAAACATCTTAACAACGAGTTCTCCTCCTAACAAAGAACACTTGGTACGACTCAATCAGCAGCTAAGACAGGTCAATGTCGGTCATAATCAAGATGTGCAAAAACCACAAGCTCAAGCTGTCCTTGATTCAGAGTTTAACTGCACTCATATATAATACAAAATCCCATAAATTGGTGTAAAATAAAAAACTCGCATAGAGAAATAGAAATTATTGCTCAGTTAAGGCAATGTGGATTTCATCTTTGTGGAAAAACTATGAAATTATATATGAAAGGTACTGCTTTTGTGTCAACAAAGAGAATTACAGAATGAACTAGGCTGGAAAAGACCTTTGAGATCATCAAGTCCAACCTGTGACCTGACAACTCCTCATCAACTAAAACAAGGTACTGAGTGCCATGTCCAGTCTTTTTTTAAACATGTCCATGGATGGTGACTCCACCACATCCCTGGGCAGATGATTCCAGGGCCCAATCATGCTTTCAGTGAAGAATTTTTTCCCAACATCTAACTGAAACTTCCCCTGGTGCAGCTTAAGATCATATTTTCTTTATGAATAAAACCATGCATTTATGCATGTCAATGCTTATAAACAAAAAGAGAAGGTAACGTTCCTGTATGGAACAGCCACAGGTACCCAGTTATAATTAATTTTACACACTAAAATTAAACTCAGTTCAGGCTTCTTACACACTCCTTATGATGACTTTCTTAGCTGCAACACAGAAATTGGGTATGACTGCACAAATTTTCAAAAAGCAACCAAAAAACCAAAATATAACTTGGAATGCTGCTTTTCTCATTCTTTTTAGACTGTGTTTAACAGTGTTACCTGCCAGAAAAGACCAATTATAGTCACTAGAGTTCCTGAAAGGAATGAAAACCCCATGAATCAACTACTGAAGAACTGGTGAACGAGAATAGCTAAGCATTACAGAAATCTTCTTTCTGCTGCCACCAAAGAGCAAATTTCCTTTTCCACACAGTGAACTTCTGTTTTTCAGTTTACATTGCCTTTACATGGTTGTGAGGACTTTAGAATTCTGATGCAAGGATCAAACTACTTTAACATAAAAATACTTCTTACTGCTTACTTTCATGGGATTTTATTCCATAAACATCAATAGCTGGATCAAATTCCCCTGGAGCCAAAGGCAGTGAGCTGTTCAGTGTATTTCCCGGACTGTCTGGAGGGGTTCCAATAGGGTGGGTCCCATCACTTTCACCTTCCTCTTCTCCATCATTCTCTTCACACTCTATTTCTTCCTGTTCAGCTCTTTCAACATCATGAATTCCAACCAGCAAGCTGTAGTCCATGAGTTTTAACTGAGCAAGGAACTAGAAAGTGGTAATAAGCAGTCTATCAATATTGCTGAAAAACATAAGCTCCACTTACAAAAAGGTGTCACCAATTGAAAAAAAACTTCTAAGGCACTTCTGAGATAGAGCAAAAGGGAAGATTAAGTGATAAAGCTGTCAAAGAGGTACCTGATTTTACTAAAATGTATGAACAGCATACAAATTACTTGAATCTTATTCTGTAGCCCACTCTTCCAAAAGCCTCCAGGAAAAAAAATCTGTGAGTAGTGAAGACCAGAGTGCTTGCAAGCTGACAACTGTTACTCCTGACTCATGTTTCAGTTAAATTAGATTCACAGAATAGTCTGGGTTGGAAGTGACTCCCAAGGATCATCAAGTGCAACTCTTGGCCCTGCTGTACAGAAACATTCCCAAGAGTTACACCATGTGCTTGAGAATATTGACCAAATGCTTCTTGAACTCTGTCAGGCTTGGTGCTGTGGCACCATCCTCTCTGCCCTCCTCTGGACAGCTTCCTTATGTTGTGGTGCCCAAAACCACACAAGCACTTAAGGTGGGGACTGCTCTGTCACTGCTCAGTGTCCAGAGCAGCCTCTGTGCTATCAGGTGCTATGATCTGGTGTGGAACCCGCCCTCTCAACCCTTTTCAGTCTTATTAAAGAATCATGAAAAAATGTTCAAATATTCTTGCAGTGGAAAGCTGTGAAGTTTCACACCCTGAGGACGTGAAATGATGTTGTATTCTCTTCACAGTGACAGGCTCATGATTTACACCATGAAAGCAAAACATGTACGTGAATGAAAGGGTGGTTTTTGAATAAAGAATAAGGATGGGAGATTTTAGGAAATTGAAAGATAAATACACTCTATGTATAAACAAAAAGTTATTTTAGTTGAGGAGAACAGCAAAAGGCAGAAAGAGGAGGATGGAAATAAGAAAGGTATAAAAGCAGGAAAATGGGGTAAACAGCTCAGGGGAGAGAAGGATGGGCAGGACAGAGCTGTGCTGCAGCTTAAAAGCAATACTGTGATTTCAAACTTGTGAAGCCCATGCTTATGGTATGCAGAGAAAGTGGCTGAAAATAAAAATTGTTTCAGTTTTTATAAACTCTAAGTGGTTATAAAAAGGAAGTTAGAGCAGACCAGGGAAGAAGGCATTTGAGCTAGACTTTGGCACAGAGAAAGTGATGGTGATGAAAAAGATAAAATACTAGGTAATGAGAAACTCCAGTTTGTCAAAACCTGATTCTGAGAAAAGAGATGAGCTGGAGATAACTGTAAATTCAAGTGCTAGAAGAAATATTGTGAGATCGAGAGGAGGTTTTAAGAAGAAGAAGAAACTGTTTTTTAAAGATTTCAGTATAATTTATTTCAATATAAAAAACAATAGATTCTCACAAGACTGGAAGAGATCTGAGTTTGAAGAGATGATGCACAATAATATACAATACAAACAAAAATCAGACTGGCCTAAGGCAATGGGGTGGAAGAACTCCAGGCATATTATTCACTACTTGGTAAATACAGGGAAAAAAAAATCTACCAATACTAATACAGAACAGTATGAAAGAGAATGCACTCTTGGGAAAAAAACAGTGAGCTACAAATTAGAAGAGAATGGCTCTTGGAAAAAAATGTGCTGCTGCTAACAACAAAAAGACTTTGGGAGATCAGCACAAGGAAAAAAAAATCTGATTTTAAATGAGAAAAATATGTAGTTTTTCTCAGGACACCTGCAATGGAATAAGGAGATGGGAAAACAGACAAGGGGACATCAAAACAACAGTAATAACTTGTGTTTGAACAGAGGAAGGGAACACAGGACTTGATTAGGAGAGAAATATGGAAACAAAGCTTAATGAAAAACAAGAACAGATATAAAGCTATATAGCTGAGAATAGCACTCCATGATGTGTTTAACTATTAAATACTGTCTGATAAAATAATCCTATACCAAGTGTTGTGCATTTCTCTTTTACACACTGGTTACAAAGCGTGTCTATCAGTTATCTAATAAGGGCAAAAAGAACCAACAAAAGAAAAACAAGGTTAAAGAATAGCTTGCCATTGTCAAAATCAGGAGCCAGATCACCTCACACTAGTAGTTTACATGGATATTAAACATTTCTCTGTATAAACTTCAAACCCATAAAACCAGCCTCTCAAGTCATAATTTGGAATTTGCCATTATATTCCCAGTCTGGTAAATGATATAGATCATACACAATCTACTTTTCGGGGTAAGAAAGTATCTTCCACATTCCTTCCACACACTTAAGATAATATCTGCAACCTACTTGCTGTAAAAGCAGCAGTCAGCAACAGCAGTACATGTTAAAAGACTACAAAATTTTAACCCAAATAAACTTATCTCTAGAGCTGTGACATCCGTAGAGCACAATATTTTAAATATAAAATAAACACACACTGATATTTCACTAAGTATTTATGTTTTTATCATCCTCACCACCATAAATTTCCCATTGTTACTATGATGGGAAATTATATTTCCTCAGAAGCAAATTATTGGATAAATTCTAAAGTAACAATATTTTGTTTTGTACAACTAATGAGATAAAATCTGAAGAATTTGGAAAGCCAATTCACAGAGCTCTTTTGATATAAATAGCTGAAAGTCTTATTAAGTCACAGACATATTTTGCTACCAAGTCTCTTTCAAATCTGCCTTTTTATTTGAAAACAGATTTCAGTTTTTGAGTATGAAGCTGCAAAATACTATGTTTAGGAAAGATATTTTAAATTCTGCAAACTAAAGGCAAGTTGTGTGAACAAATTAGTCTGATATTTATGATATGAACAAAATAAGTAAAAATATTTCATTAAAATCATACATTAACACTTTTCTTTCAAGTATTTACTGCATTCAGCCAAGTAAAATACAAATTTATATGAAAGACAACATTAAGATAATGAGAATCCAATTGCTGTATTTAGATTACTGAAGCACTCTACTGTTGTGACACTTAGAATGATTTAAAACTGGATTACTAATAGGAAACAAAGAGGGCATGCACAGCTGTGAGTAGGGGAGATGCCCCTTCTCTCTTATGGACTACAGTCTGTATTTGGCCTTAGCCCTGGTGGACCTCCACCTGAAAAATACAACTAACAATACTCACCTCTCTCTCGGGGGCATTTGGAAGCACTAGGCTTGTAAAGCATTTAAGTACTAAGCAGTACCATCATTTTAACATCACATCATCAAGGCAGGAACAATGCATGGCAACCAGCTATGGCAGCAAGCCATTTATCACATCAGCAAAGCAGTGATCAACTCCTGAAAGTTTAAATTGTGTTTCATTTAAAACAGTCAGTGTTTACAGTTTTATAAACAAGAGCTTTTACTAATTAATCACAGGTATGATTTCCTGGGATATCCATAATTTGTCACACATTTCAATCACATGTAACTGAACAGGCACATTCTTACCTCAACATCCTTTTTGAGTTTCTCAAGGAACATCTTTTTGTTAGTCTCATCAATATGAATCTTTTGGCCATCATTAATAAAATCATTGTCTTTGAATGTCGGCAGCTCTTTGGCCTAAAACAAAGCAAAATTCTTATAAGAGCAGGATTGTAAAGAGGAGTGTGGTGAAGCTGCTGGCCCTGTGCCTAAGAAGGCACCCCCAAGGTGCCTCTCCTCCACGGCACACAGATGTCCATAACTGCACTCACAGAGCTCTTTGCTCATCTTACCCCTCCAGAAATGGTCTAGAAGGTAATTGTGAACTGGGCAGCAAATGCAGCTAGAACAAAAGCTCCTCTCAATACCAGATTTGCATTGAACACTGATTTGCATCGAGCTTCTTCCAAGATGTCATTTGTCAAATCAACTGGCAGTAAGTGAAGTTAAAACAACCTATTCCTCATAAGAAAGGGCCTGCATCAGATCTTACAGAGGAAGTTAGACAGGATTGCATTTTGCACAACTACTGTGAATATTCACAAGTGCCTAATACCAAATAATCATTGGAAAGCATCAAATGAATATTGAATTATGAAATTCTGCTTAAAAGTAGCAAATGCCAGAGAAGACCACTGCCTCTTCAATATGTAATTAAATATTCTTGATGTTGGAGCAACTTGATTACCTTCATCTTCAGTTCCCTCATGAAGTGATTTGCAACACCTCAAACGGGCTCTGTTTTTAATGGGCAGTGACTGGAAGTTTACTCAAAAAGCCCCAGCAAACAGACAAACAAAAGAGCAGTTCCTTCAGGACATTTGGTCAAGCAAGTCAGAAGTAATACTAACTCCTGCAATCAGAGCTTTTGAAAAATTGGCCCATTAAGAGCAATGAACAGCCTTTCTCCCTGCCCCACCTTTAATCAATAGTATGGAAGAACAGGTTTTCTTTACAAAGAAAATGTTACAGAACAACCAGTGCTGCAATTCCTATGAACTGTCAGTGGCCAAGAATAAAATACCCCGAATAAAATAATTTCCCCTTAATCTGAAAGTCCTTCTACTAGGAATAAAAGGCAGCTAACATCAGCTTACAGGAATGTTCTCCATAAGTTTAACTAGTCAGACATTGCCTATAATCTTACTGGAGATGGTATTTTTCATAAAGTTTATTTTCTTCCTATGACACAGCAAGGCAAAGAACCTGAGAGCTTCTTTCCTCTACTCCAATATGGATATCTTGGAAAGAACAGCATTAAAATGTGAGCACCACAGCAGACTCCAAGAGGCCCTTATAGTTCTTCACAATGGCCAAAAGTTCTTTTTACTCTTGGACTATGTGCACTGAGGTGGCCAAAACACTCAATTCCCCAACCCAAATTAATTTTTTGGACCTGGAATTTGTGAATTGCTTGATATCCCACAGTGCTACTTTTGTTTAGAAAAGCAATCATTTTCTTCCAATAAGAGAAATTAGTAACATTGTAATAGTTACAAATCCATTATTAAATCTATGGCATCCCGATACCTATGAAGTTTGAAAAAAAAAAAAAGGTCCTAGTTTGGTTGCTCTGAATTACTATTGTCTTGCATCTAGAACATTCTGATACATTAAAATACCCTATAATAGCAATCCTCTATCTATAGTTAAAAGAAGAAGAAAACAAACACCCAAGCCACTGAGATGGAGCTATAACCATTCATCTGTCCCAGACTCCACTTCCAAGGAGGAGTCTTTCAGCAGTGCTCTCCTGCTTTACTTAAAAAACATGCTGGACACTTTTTGAAGCTCACAATGAATTGTTTACCACAATATGACTGCAAAGTACACATTGATTTTCTTTCTGGCCTACTCAGTAAGAAGTTTAGGACAAAAATGAGCACGGGTAACATCAGATAAGCATTCCAGGCTAACAGCTGTAGAGATTACCATACTCAATTGAGCAGAGTCCCATGGACAGGGCTAATTCTGCAGAAGTAGGACTGTGGATCCAGGGACGTTGCCAACACTGGAGGATGGATTCCAGTGCGTGGGATGCTTAAGAATGGAGAGGAGATTTGGATGAAATAATTTAAGATGAAGCAATAATGAAAAGAATGCAGGAAACCAAGCTTCCTTCATTTTTAGCCCAAAAATCACTTAAAAAAAATTCCCCAGATTATTTTTCCACCTAGTATATCCAAGTTATTGATTAAATTAGGCAGAGGTTAAAGTGAAACAATCCCATTGACACAGAAACCCCCACCACTATTGCTGTTTAAAGCGGGAGGGTGAGCACAGAGGGAGGATGTGCTTGTGGTTAAGATGCTGAGACGCTTGTTTGCCTCGAGGCTCCGCCGCAGGCTTCCCGCAGAGCACAGCCCCAGTGACACCGGCGGGGCTGCGAGGGGAAGCTGCCTCGCCACTGAGGACAGCCCTACGCTGGTAAAAATAAACTAAAATTACAAGCAGTGTCTTCTTTGGGAGATGCTAGGGCTGGTAAGCCAGTTGTGCAAGTGCCATGCTTCACTTTAACCATGTCTCTACGCTATTGTTAATAGAAGTGAGCCAGCAAAGCTGACACTGCTGCAGCTCTTGCCTGTCATCACAAGACCCAAGGGGCACTCCCAAGGACGTCCTGGGCAGTGAATCAGCACTCCCAGAAAGCCAGACTCCTCACTGCCTTGTATGCAGGTTCCTCCGACAATATTTACCTGAGGTAATTTTTATTTACCCAAATACCCATACCTGTAAAGAGTTGGCAAGTGTAGAACCACATAAGTTAAAAGCCAGTACTAAAGCTACTGAAGAAAAAGGACAAAGTAAAAGCAGTGGGTCCCATCTAAGCAACTGAAGCTAAAATGCTCTGTGCCAGTGGTTGCCCTCACTACATTATTTGCATGACACCTCCCAGCCCATTCTCTTCCCTCTTTCTAGGGGTTACTAGACACCCCCCCACACTTTTTTTTTTTTTTTTTTTGTGTACTAGGCAATATTATTCTCCCTATTCATTTGAGACTGAATAGTCCTAGGATACTGCTGCAGTCCCACATATTACTAATGACAGCCACCAGCAGAAGTGATTCTAATAGTACTTTAAATGAAATTTGTCTTAAAACTGATTTGTGAATTTAGGAATCAAAACCTATAAAATATTTAACTAGGAGGGGCTCTTGTAGTTATGCTGAATTAATAACACACTCATTCATGCTGAAAAATCCCACTATGTTAATTTCTTACATGCTGAAATAAACACAAATAGAATCACATTGTGGCAGTTTAGAACATTACCTGAATGAAAAAAATTGAGGCTTTGCTTTAATGAAATAATTGATATGGTTAATTTTTTATGATGTCTCAAATATTTCCAATGAAGCAAAATCCTTGTTGGAAAATGATTCTCCTAGAATGTAATTCATTATAATGAACATATTACTGTCATTAAAGAACTAAATATTTTAAGAGCTGCACAGGAGATGAGTATCTAACTACTTCCACTAAATTAATAATAGATTTTCTTTCTAACCACCTCCAGTGTTTTTAATCTCCTACTTAAAGATGCAAGAAAGGCACACCAGATTTTACAAATATAAAATATCTATCTGTTAAAAAAAGCATGTTATCAGCACACTTCAGGTTTGCATTCCAAAGTTTGCCATGGTCACAGAGAATTATAATGGCAGGAAGATTTCAATGCCTTTGAAAGGCTGAAAAATCAATAAAGATTTCTTAGTAACTAAGATGACAGAATGTGTAAAGCCTCATTCAAAATAAAAGTATAGCGTAAAAGCTGATACTGTTTTGAGTTAAAAAAAGTCCCAGGAATGTAAGAGCCAGATGAAGTTTTATTTCTAGATGAACATGGTAACAGATTTTGTACATTTCTTAGGACATCTCAATTCAGCATCCTATCCTAATGAGGTGAAATTAATATTAGCAATTTTGTTTCCCCCAAAGGGATTTTGTATGCATCATGACATCAAAAATAATGGTCATAGCTAACATTAATGCTGGTATTTTGGAAGCAGCTTGCTAAAATAGCTGTAGGTCAGGTAAGTTTCCAAATAAGTGACGGAAAAAGGAAAATAGACTAATTGTCCTCATGACTTGGCAGCAATTTCTTATCTAATAACTACAAGGTTTAGGTTTTAGGAGAAATGCTGCATAGCAGCCTTATTTTTTTCCCTGGAACTAGCCACAAGCCACATTATTCACACAGCTAATCATGAAAAAATTTGGCTTACAACTTATAACTTTTGAAAATTATGTAAAACATCTGCCAAGAGTGAAGGTCCACACCCTGGACTTTTTAAACAGCAAATGGCCCACATACACCTTAATTTTCTTAAGTACTGGACCAATCAGCATATACTGAAGGCAGTGTCTGGGGGAAAAAAAGGCTATAATACTAAATATAGTTTGCAATAATTTGGAACAGGGGATTTTGAATTGAATCAAAACTTTGGAGTCACCAATTTACAAGAGGGAAGAATAACTTTAGAATTATGCAGTTTCTTGCCTCCCATAGTTCTGTGAGCTGGGTCCAAACTTTTGTTGTACAGATTGCTTTGCCCTAGCCAGGGCTTCCTATACAAAGGGTCTGCAGCTCAACTTGACATCACAGGTCTGTAAAGGGCAATGGAAATAGAGCTGTAACCCAAAATAGTGTTTGAGGGAAAACACTGGAATGACTTTAGACTTTAGTATAACAAGCATTTTCTGTAGGAAGAAAAAGAATTGTGCAGGATGCTGTAGAAGGGTTAAGTACTCAAGCATGTACCAAAATAGAAACTGTCTTTTCAATGCTCAAAGAAATGCATCCATAATTATCCCTAGCATTAATGTCTTCCTGCTGCAAAATGAACATGCAACATATAAAATGCAACACAAAATTCCCCTGTTATTTTAAAAATTCTTTTAACATATGGAAAACAGACTTCTAAACAAAAATGAAACAAAACACCCCCCACCCCTCAAACCCAAAGGCAAACTAGTGATTTATTTTGAAAAACTGTGATGGGGTTGGTGTCATGAGAAGGCTAAATGCTGAAATCAAAACCCTGAATGTCTCTCCCTATCTTTGGAGTGTGATGTTTTGAAAGCTATAATCTCTGTACATTGGAATGTTTAGATTTATTCCACAGATAAGTGTCAGACACTTCGCAAGTCTCTTGTGTGAGATCAGCACATGAAGCAGACTGAAATCACTAATAAGAGATAAGTACAAAAATGTTCTGAAATCAGTAATTCTAAAATAGCAGGAAAAATAGCTCAGATTTTTGAATGATCTACCTTGAATAAAGTCTTACATAGTGCCACCAAAAGTGAAAACAAAATTGAGTCAAGACTGACTGATCTTGTTGCTACACTCCTCTACTAAAGCCCTTCTTCCTTAGGTTATACTTTCCTCTCAGAGATCAGTTAATTACTATATGTTGTAATATATAAAGTTAAACACAAAGATAACGTCTAGTGACAACTTCCAATCTAATTGTCATAGCTACGTACTTCACATACAATTTAATTAAAATGTAACATAGCTGTCAACTGTGGCAATCTTTTTCCCAAAAGAAACTTGAATAGAAAATCCTTTATTCAGTTGTATTGACTAGAATTTTACTACACTTATGAATGGTGATTTATGAAACAACACATACTACAGAGGTGGCAGTGCAACCAGTTTTAGATTAATTTAAAAACATGTGATAATCTCTGAAATTGCTTGAGAAAGATGAAATGTGGTGGGCACCAGTTCAGTTAGGATTTATTTTTCTTCTTCAAATTTCTTTCTGAACTGCTCACTCAGAAGCAAGAGCTTAGATTCTTCTATCAGTACAAGTAGACTCAGCTGTTACTGCTAATTTGATGTACTGCAAGTATGGCATAATCGTGAGCAGCTAGACCGCCAGGGGATTTCTGCATTATCCTCATTTCACTTGAGAGGGCAAAACTGTCCCAAGAATGAATAGAAAATGCCCACTATTAAAATAATAAAAATTTTTAAAAGAGTAGTAAAGCCCAAAAAGTAAAAAGGAGCAGCTGTCAGAACTTGACAACTGTTGAAACATACTGTTCTCTTAAAATCCAAGGAATCTGTAAGTGCATGCTATGATACATGTTGCCAAGAAAGTGATGTCTTTATTATTAAAAGTATCATTTATAACACAAATGAAAGGTGTTGTGTGTTAAGGTGAAATTTAAGGGACTGGTGCTTGTTTCTGCACTGATGATCACAAAACATTGAAATGACAGTTTTGAACCTGCTCATCCATATGTTAGGATATTAAACAGCTGAAGACAGTCAAACAGGAGGTAAACTGCAAACAGGATGGAAAAGTACCACTCTTAATCAGGCAACTTTTAATCCTAAAAAACTGGTTTTGAAAAATGTTGGAATAGTAATACCTCTTTTATACTATTAAGCTAAAACAGAATTATACTATTTTCTCAGATTTCTTATCCATTAAATCTTTTTGCATATTTGTCTCTTCTTTATTAACTGAGTAAATAACTTTTAGTTTGATAGGAAGAAGATTCAAGAACAGAAATTTCACCAAATTTGCCTTTATGAAGTAATTAATCTAAAATTTACAGTCTGCATTAGAATGTGACTGAAAGACTTGCTCTTCTGTTTTCTGACTTCTGTAGCTTTAAGAGAAGTAAACATATTACACTTGATATTCTGAAAACCATTTGATTACTTGACGGTTGTAATTTGAAACTCAATATGAATTACTTGAAAGCCCATTTAAAAACTAGCCATTGCCAGACAATTTAGCCATACATTTTAATACCAAAAGCTTGCTTTATTACTGTCACATGTGAACAGCCATATAATTATAAGTAATTATACTGCCATTAATTGAAATTTATTAATATTAATGTAAATTCAAGGTAAAATTAATAAATTGATGATTTGGTTTGCATCTGGCTAAAAATTAGCTAATAATTTACTACACCAGTTCAGGTTTTTAGATTGTCTGGTTTTGTTTAATCCTTATGGGCAATTTCTTCTATGATAGGAGATACCAAAATCTCTTTAGAGAATTTGCTAAAACACCTCCCCCCATCCCCTTCAAATCAAATCTTTTCAACTGCTTTCAAACCTTAAGATTGATTTGAGATTCCCACAGATGATAACAAAAAGTCTGAAACACCGACATCTATTTAAGAGAAAATGGAAGTAAAAAAACATGCTACAGGGCTCCACTTGCCCCTCAGGAATAATGGATCATCTACATATTCAGGTCAACAGAGTCCTCAGGCCCTGGAATCAGTGGCACATATGCAGAGATACATCTCATGACAGCAGCTCTTTAGCACTGCTCAGAGTTTCAGAACCAAACTTTCCTTGTCTATTCATAGAAATATATAACACCCTTTTTATCTAAACCTAAAAGCTGTGTGTTAGGTTTGAGTAGTCCTAGTGAGTAAATCTGTTGTCATGCCTGCTGCAGGAGATTCAGATCACAGTGATGACAAATCTTCTGAACATCTGCAATGCACAGGCAAAACGTGTTCTGGCCCTTTCAGATTCTAAAACTTAAACAAAACCCATGTAATAAGCAAAATACTAATTTTCCCATGTTTGAATCCCTAGAGTCCCAAAGTGTAAAATGATGTTCCTTCTATGAATGTAGAAGGCTACCCAATAATTTCCTTCCTTAGAAATCTATTTTCTGAATGCAAGCTTGTCACATCCCTGCTGCATTGCACCGGGGTTTGAGGGGAATGACGAGTGACAGAAAGCTGCTTCGAAAGCCTCAGACTGTGTGCTTACAGCATCAGTAGCCTTTGTGCAGTTCCATCCCCAAGAAATCACACCATTAAAACAGCAGAATAAGAATTAAGGGGATGAGGCTTTTATGCATTATTTTCAGAGAAGTACTCAAAATCAAAAGGAAGTTCTAGACGTGAAGTTGGTAAGAATTTTTCTTATCTGCCTTATGGAAGTTATGATTTCACATTAAATGTACAGAATAATTGTTTTATGCAGTTATATAAAACTACACAAATTTGTTTCAATTTATCTATAAGCAAGTTCAATAGTAATTCTGCCATGAACTTACAGAGGAGCAAAATTAAGGCACTGTTTCTTCAAGGTTCTCACTCAATGTATTAACTACAATATACATGTACTATTATTAATCTATTTGTTATTACGAGATATTCCTAAAATTGCTCAAAACTACTTTGCTAAACATCTGTATAGTTCCAGCTCCTGCATAGCTGACTATACATAATATTTTAAAATTTTATGTTACTAGTCCAAGCATTAATGTTGCAACCTGAAGCAGTCCCATCCAAATAATTTGTCCTCATCCTTTCTATCAGATTATTTTAATAGTACAGCAGAGGTTTTCAATGACATTAGGTATTGTTTGTAAGACACTGAAAGGTTACTCCCTGCACATTAAAAACACTACAGTTGCCACTAAACAAGAACAAAAACAGATGACAAAAGAAAGAAAGGAGACCATTCAAGACATGATCTTGAGGGCCTGCTACAGCAGAAGAGAGCTATTGCTGGCAGTGGTAACTGCAGCTCGCAGGTGGGGTTGTAGTATTGCCTCATGCTAAGAAGAATTTAAAGTGTTCCATCATGCCTTAGGAAAGGTGGAAAATCCTGGCACAGAGTTTTTCATGCAGTGAGAGCTGACTCCATGACCCTTACTCCTTTAGTGCAGTTGTGTGAACGGTGGAAGACTCAGAGAGGCAGGTATGGTACAACTACTGCTTAGGAGAAAAACAAATTATCTGAATAGAATTTGAGGAAAACAGAAAATAAAGTCTCTTAAGTGAACTCTTGAATGAGCTCATGCTAATTCAGGAGGAATGGGCTTGGACAAATTAAGAAAACAAGGGCCATGGGTTGTCAGACCTTGCCCAAATTTGAGATCTAAGAAGTTTCAGATGATGGAGACTATGTAACATTTCCAATTATCTGTAGAATCTCCAGAGAAACCTCTCCAAAAATGCCATCTGGCTATTTTGCTAAAACCACAAAGAAAAATTGAGAACAGTAAATTTCCCAAAAGAACTGAAGTTGGAGGTGAAGAAAAACAAAGCAATCTATTTCTGTTTAGATGAAAGTTTCAGCCCAGAATTTGAGGGAGACTGTCTTTCATTACAGCTATGTGTACATCTAAGCCTGTCAGTCACTTGCTCATTTGTATGAACTTTACATACCCAAGGGTTCACATAATTCAAGGTTTGGTTCATCCTTGTACTCAGTTTATAAGTGGTGTCCCATCACATAATTCCATTAACTGACATGGAGTATTCATAAATCTCAATATGAAATAGGAAGAGAAAGAAGATGAAGCAGGAGAGAAAGGAACCAAGTTCTGATGTTTTCCTAGCACAGGGCAGGCCCTGAAGAAACTAAGAGAAGAGAAAAGGAAAAGGAGGAGGTAGAGGATTGGCTCACTTACCTCTGAAATTACAACACTTTTGCAAACCAAAGGTCTGCAGGAAATAGAGGACAGATTAAGGAGGGATAAGGTAGAACTCAAGAGGGAAGAATATGGCAGAAAAAAAGGAAAGGGTCAGAACAGCACTGGTTATGTTTGTTCTGAGTCTGGCTAAAAGGTTAATTAATTGAAAAAGAAACAGAAATGCACCATACCTTTTCTTTGTCACTGGCTTCTCGAGCCACAGTAGAGCCCTGAAACAGAAAAAATGGATCTAAAAATGTGCATATGTCAGAAACTAATTTGAAAATGTTATAACAGGTCAAAAAGAGGATGAACTGTATCCTTTTGAACTTGAGAAATGTTTTAAAGAAAGGTGATACGGTAGGTAGAATGTCCAGGACTGCTGAACTGCTGCAATCATGTGAAGAAGATGCATCATGAGAGAAGAAAGATGGATTAAATCCTCAAATGCTCTACTTCTATCGTCCCCCTAATTCTTGGGGCTTTTCCTCATCTCTCATCCTCATTTTGAATGTATCATGCTGGAAGTTCAGTTTGCTTGGCAGATTTCTCATTTTTTTTTTTTATGCCAATTTAGCTGTATGGGTATGGACTGTATAACTGTCTGGACATTTGTAACACACATTTGAAAAGGATGTCACACAATATAAACACAAAAAGTATTTAAAAGATCATAAAGTACAAACAAGAACAATGCATCTCACAGCAACATGGAGTAAAAAGAAGAGAAGAGACCAACTGTGGATTCACAAGATTTACAGTGCTTGCCCAAGACATTTGGGATTTTCTTTTTAAATTTATTTTTTAGATTAAAACTAGTGAGAAATAGGGTGCTTTCTGAATAACCTGGAGCTGACAACAAAAAGACTGTATATATTTCCTTAAAAATTTCTTGGAGCAGGACCACACCTTTAAATACCCAGCACATGGTTATCATGTAACAGCACTGCAAGAAATAGTAACTACACATAAGGTGACTGGACATTGAAAGATGGGTAAATTAGCTCTGCTCTTTGTTAAAGGGTGTGCATTGTGTAAAGAAATGATGGAGTGGAGTCCTACTAGTTTAAAGAATGTAAGGATCCCAACCACACCCTTTTATAGCATGTTTTATTCTGTTTATGGAAAGACACTTAGAAAACTCAGAAGTGGTGGAGAGAAAAGATATCTGGGACAGTATCTGTTAGTTATTATGTATGGCCTAGAAGCAGCGATTTCATTGAATTATTCTTAACTGATAATAAAGCCTGGTAAAAGCCTAACATTTCAGTTTACTCAGGAGACAACTTTTATATTGTATTCTGTGCTCCAACAGATTATTAGGCCAGAAAAAAGATCAACTGAAAACCAAACTGAAGGAAAAGAAAGAAGATTCACAATTGTAAAAATTAGGGAGGATGTCAAATTTGACATTTGGTAAAAAAATAACATTGAAATGGCATTTTAACAAAATGCATCCATGGCCAAAAAATACCCTTAAAATCCCACACTGATTTGTGGTCTGTTTTTCTTGTATCTACATAGGTAGAGACTTGTGCTACAAAGTGAGGTCTAAGCTGGTGTCAAAAATATTCATGTACAAAAAAGGACTCTGTGTCTATAACTGCAGATGACATAGCAAAGAATATCAAGAAAAAGTAATTTATAATAAATTCAGTGTCCCTATAAATCTGTTCAGTGAAGGAGTTTGTTTTGAGGAATATATTGATGTTAAATTTGAAGTTAAAGCAATGCTCTCCAGCTGGACAAACTGAATAGACTACAGAAGCACTCACAGAGGTAAATGACATAAAGAGCTGTTGACACCAATGTTAAGAACATAGTGTATATAATTACTGCTTCTTTCTGTTGTGCTTTCATGCCCTTTTTAATACATTTGTACATTATGATGCTCTAAATCACAGTTTTCTCTAATTAAAAAAGCCCAAACTTTCTCTGCAACTGCTGCCAATAATACTGAATATCAGAAAGAAAATTGTTGACAATCTGGAAATCAGTTCTTATAAATCAAGTTCAGTCAACTATCTGAGCAATTGCTAAGGAGACTTGACAGTAGGAAAGGATGGTGCACTACATAGCATTACAAATCTCCTAATACAGAATGATAAATGAACACCTTAAAGCAAGCTTGCAGATGCACTTAGTGGTTCAGCACATAGAAATTAAATGTATTAGAAAGAAGTAGGTTTCTAAGGGGATACTTTATAGAGGAAATTAAAATACCATCCCTTGGTTAGAAAGACTAAGACTACATTTTGAGTATTTGTTGTAAGCCCTGTATATTAACTACTGTCAAAATTACAATGAACAGATAAAGCTTCTGAAACAAAACTGAAACAAATCTTATGATAAAAGAAGATGTCTTGACTTTTCAAAGACTCTTTTCCTTTTCACTTGAATTATTTTTAAAATAATGGATAAATTATTAAGCTCTTGCCATAGAGGTGTACTTTATTAGCAACATTTATTGAAATGATGCTATTTAGTTGTTTTATAGATGCCCTGTGCAGAATCAACTGTGGCTTTCCATAATGTTGATAAAAACCTGTAAGAAGCAGAATTACTATTGTACTAGTGTGAAGGGTTTTACCTTTAACCACTAGCAACATTTGGCAAACATATCTGGCTAAATTGCTGCTTTTAAAAATGCACAAAACAGATAAATTTCTATAATGTCTATAAAACCACCCTTTAATTTTGCTAAACCCAGGTGTAGAATGCAATAAGTTATGCTGGCTCTTGCATAACATAATTTTAAATTAATTAAAATTCTGAGCAATAATCTAACATTTATTGTAAAGATTTTCAGCTACTTTGTCAGTTATTTAATCAGCAGTTATTTCTCACCTTTAAATCATATTTTCTATAAACAGATAAACGATGGCTGAACACATTTCTTGTAACAACCATATATACTTCAACTCCATCAACAGTAAGCCGGTACATGCCCAAAAACTGGGGAAGAAGTGTATTCCCATGACACTCCACAATAAACTGCAGAATGAAAAGAAAAACCAGAAATTAGGACTGACGTATTACACAAATATCTATTTAGATTTTAGATATAAAATACCAAGAAACAATATTTTTTTTCTGAATATGTGTGTGGCGACAAGCCTTTAAAAAATTACCAAAAACAAACCCCCTCATGAGGAAGTTATTCTGCTTTTAGGCCATTGTTTAAAAATTAAAATAATACTCTGCTTCATTTATAACTCTTGACTTCCACAGACAGTCTCCTAGAAAGAGGAGACTCCATTGGACAGAGCTTTTAACTTTTATGTTAACACAAAAAGCAAACCTAAGCAGACAGCATAGGATACTTTATAGAGGAAATTAAAATACCATCCCTTGGTTAGAAAGACTAAGACTACATTTTGAGTATTTGTTGTAAGCCCTGTATATTAACTACTGTCAAAATTACAATGAACAGATAAAGCTTCTGAAACAAAACTGAAACAGATCTTATGATAAAAGATGTTCTGATTTTTCAAAGACTCTTTTCCTTTTCACTTGAATTATTTTTAAAATATTGGATAAATTATTAAACTCTTGCTTAGAGCTTAATAGAGGTGTACTTTATTAGCATTTATTGAAATGATGCTATTTAGTTGTTTTACAGATGGTCTCATGGATAAATTATTAAGCTCTTGCCATAGAGGTGTACTTTATTAGCAACATTTATTGAAATGATGCTATTTAGTTGTTTTATAGATGCCCTGTGCAGAATCAACTGTGGCTTTCCATAATGTTGATAAAAACCTGTAAGAAGCAGAATTACTATTGTACTAGTGTGAAGGGTTTTACCTTTAACCACTAGCAACATTTGGCAAACATATCTGGCTAAATTGCTGCTTTTAAAAATGCACAAAACAGATAAATTTCTATAATGTCTATAAAACCACCCTTTAATTTTGCTAAACCCAGGTGTAGAATGCAATAAGTTATGCTGGCTCTTGCATAACATAATTTTAAATTAATTAAAATTCTGAGCAATAATCTAACATTTATTGTAAAGATTTTCAGCTACTTTGTCAGTTATTTAATCAGCAGTTATTTCTCACCTTTAAATCATATTTTCTATAAACAGATAAACGATGGCTGAACACATTTCTTGTAACAACCATATATACTTCAACTCCATCAACAGTAAGCCGGTACATGCCCAAAAACTGGGGAAGAAGTGTATTCCCATGACACTCCACAATAAACTGCAGAATGAAAAGAAAAACCAGAAATTAGGATTGACGTATTACACAAATATCTATTTAGATTTTAGATATAAAATACCAAGAAACAATATTTTTTTTCTGAATATGTGTGTGGCGACAAGCCTTTAAAAAATTACCAAAAACAAACCCCCTCATGAGGAAGTTATTCTGCTTTTAGGCCATTGTTTAAAAATTAAAATAATACTCTGCTTCATTTATAACTCTTGACTTCCACAGACAGTCTCCTAGAAAGAGGAGACTCCATTGGACAGAGCTTTTAACTTTTATGTTAACACAAAAAGCAAACCTAAGCAGACAGCATATATTTGGTAGTTATGTCAAAACCCAAGTATTTTTTTGAACATCACACTGCTGTAACCCGTACTGTGTTGTCCCGGACCACATTTAAATTGTATGTTTCTCCATTGTCAGTATTTGTTTATTATGATGAACACTCATGGTGTTGTCACCAGCAAGGGGTATTATTTATTATCACCAACTTTCTGTTAGTTCCCGTGTGGTGGTTGCATTTTGGGGTCAATAGAGCCGAGCAATGAAGTGCAAATTCCCTGTATTTTTAAAATTATGAATCCTTATTTTTCCTTAAGGTCACCATATTCCATTACAAATGGGCTATTAACCTTGAAAAAATTTGCCACGTGCAACCTGTCTTTTTTTTCTTAATCACTTGCCTTACAAGTAATTGTTCTATTAGAAAGACCACTGGAGGAAGCAGAAAAAGCAGACACATACTGATGATGATAACTATTGAAGGATGAATTTTTATTCCCAGAATAAAAATGCCCATACTATATTAATCCTACTCAGAAACAGTCACTTATATTTTGTGGAACCAAGGAAAAGTTAAACCACTATGATGCAAACCAGAAAGGACCCACCAGCCTTCCTCTTTCTTTTAGCACCAAGTCTCAAACAGGAACTTGGAGAAAATGTAAAAGCCCAAGGCCCAAAGAGGAAACATGAAATCTAACCTACAGTCAGCTTTTAAATGTTAATTGCATACTGAAGCTGCTGCTCCTTTCTGCCAGTCACCCACTTATTAGAAACACAGATTTTAGAAGAATTTAAAACAAGTTAACTGAATAAGCCATTTCAATTGTTTAACAAAGGCAGGTAGTATTTGGTAACAAATACTGTAACAAAGCTCTTGAAACCCTGGAGATTTTGCAATATTGGCCTCCTCTGCTAATTGTAAGGAATTCTTCTCACTAATTTGATACTGGAATCTGCACATATCACAGACAGATCTTTTAATTGGCTAAATAAAAAACTGACTTAAGACTCTTGAAAACAATCCTGTTCACCAGGAAACAAAGGAAATGAACAACCAACACAGAAATTATTGACTGTCAGTTGAACCCAATTTTGACTGACTCCTGAGCCCTGTTAAATCTTGCTGGCACATTTTGGGCTGCAACTCTGCTTTCTACCTGCCCTGGAGCTGTACTGGAGGTTCAAGCCCTGAAGCACAGAACAAAGTCACAATGTAGTTGTGCCACTTCACAGAAAAGCACTTTTAAGTTCCAGCTGTCTATGAATAGGCAAGTTATGTTAAGGTGCTGCAGAGACTTAGTGAATACAAATCAGAATCTTAGGAAAGGAGTATGATTGTATGCCTCAAAACACAAATAGAAGTTTGGCAGTAAAAGGCCACAAAAGCAAGGTCAGTCGTGAGCAGTGCACAAAGATTGATCAGTTTGCACCTGAGAGGATTTCTGTATTTAAAAAATACTGAAGTTTTAAGTTGAAGTTCTCAGTTTGGAGGATTTTCAGAGTCATAGGGCTGTTAACATCACAAAACTGTTATAACACATTACAGGATACACAGCCTATTTTGATCATCGTTTCTGTTAAAGATCCAATCATAAGAGTAGTAATCCGTACTAGCAAAAATACATTGATTATTTTTTAATAAATGTTAAGTACTTGGCATATCTTTAAAGGTAAATACTAAATATTTTTAAAGCTTTATAGAAAGTAAGAAGGGTTGTTCCTATAGAAAGGTTTATTAAATGACTTCTACTTTAAGATGATTATGTTCTACAAGATGAAAATAAATTAGCTTCTAACAAGAATTTAGTGTCACAGAATTTCTAGCTACTCAACTCTTTAACAGACCCAGCCATTCCTAATCTTACAGCTTTTAAATACAGAATTTGAATTAAAATAAATACTATTGTTCAAATTTTCCACATGGGCATCTGAGATGCAGAACTTCTACCTGAAATCATACAGAGAGTTTGTGCCACGTGAAGGAATGTCAGCTAGACATCTTGAGAACCACACTAGTAACCCTCCGCCCTTCCTTTCAGCTGTGACTGCCACAGTACTGACACTTAAACTGTCTCTTCAACCCTAGCTACTGCGAACACTCCAATTTTAAGCTTTCTGGTCCCAGGTGTACCCATCTGTAAAATAGCAATGCCATTACCAGAGCATGAGCACCATACCCACTGCAACACCATAAAATAAATTACTTGGTTAGCAGTATACAACCCCCTCCCAAACTGCTCTGTACTATGTAATGAGGACACAAAGGCCACTAGTGAGAGTTGCTTCAGTCCTGTTTGTAGGTTAGGGTTTGCCATTTGCCAGCACTGTTTCATTATCTTAGTGTGCAAAGACTTCTGAAAAGGCAGTGTTAACCAGCATGGAACACAAGACATGAGAAGCTCTGCTAATATTGCTCCTCTTGATAGTAAGGGACATGGCTGTACTCTCCCAGACTTCTAAGAGACCCTCTCAAAGCAGACCAGGTACTGCACAGTTGTTTCCTATTTGCTGCTGTGGACACTCATGCCATTACAATTAAAAGAAAAGCCTCTGAAATTATTTCAGTGTTTCCTATGACAGTATTTCTTAACCTGATGGGGAGACAAAGGAAAGAAGGAGGAATGCCACTTGCTTTCATCATCTACAAGGTTGGTCTAGAACTTCCTACCTTTGCAACTATCAATCCCCCATATCTGCATCACAGAGGAGGCAAAACGTGTCATCTGTTTGGGTGGGAGTCCAGCAGGACTTGCACTGGTGACTGTGGTTGGCAGATTTTCAATTTGTCCATCTTGATATAAAGGAAGTAGCAATTTAGTCACCTCAAGGTGCTTTTTAGGAATGATTTCCTGAAGTTTCCCACTCACAGCTGGAAAAAAAGTGAGCCTAGAAAATAAGCCAGTACATGCTTAACAGGACTGCTAAATTTCAGTGAAAGAAAAAGACCTTCACTCCTTTTTCTAAAAAGAACATTAAAACAATTCTACTAAGCAGACTTGCTAAATAAAACTGTAATACTCAGCTAATACATTTACAAGCCTTTATATGCAGCAACAAAATATTTTTAAAAAATGAGTGTTGTAATAAACACCCCATAATTTTTTTTTGTTAATTCAAACGATTTTCATGTTTGCGCACAGCACGAGGACAATATTATTATTGACACAGTAAAGTAACATCCACGTATTGACATGTTTTATCAGCTGTGCAGCACATTTCAAATAAGGAAATTTCTGAACTCTCTTGAACCCCATGCTTCAAGTTGAAAATTAGTAAGAAATTCTTTATGAGCCTATTTTCTCATTAATTTTTGTATAAATACAGCTTCAAGATTGCTTAGTAAGAATAAAACTTTACCGATTTAATTAGGTTCTTGCTTCCCTATGGCAATGCTAGTAAGCTATCAGATACATAAAAAGATAACATAATGCATACCATTTATTGGCAAAGAAGTTATACTACTTTTGGCTCTTTTTGGAAAAACACAGAATAAAATTTCTGTTTCTACCATTTCTCCATCTCCACTTGGAGATCATCTGTGGAATGATTTGACATCGGTGCAGATTAAATCCTCAATTATATCTATCTTTGTTCTATGTGCAAAGTCAGCATTCCTATTTCTCACAGCCCTATTTGATAAATATTAATTCAGAAATACACAACATGCTCATTCTCTGTTACCCCTTTATATATTATTTTCACACATTTCGGTATCATGACTAAGACAAGCATTTGATAATTCAACCAGAATTATGTGGTAAGTCTATACATTCACCAGGATACTTGCACTAAAGAAACTGAATAGCAAGTCACATAATTATTTAAAACTATTTTAGGCATTGTGCAGGCCTAGATATTGATAGTAATTTTTGTGCTCAACTTGTTCTTTTATATCCTCTTGTCTGCAGTCACAGATATCCTTCACTAATTTTGTGTACAAGCATTTGTATTTTGTGCACAAGCACTGATATGTGGAATCACTCCCCCCCAAAAAGACTGAGAACTTGTTCAGAGTTATAAATATTCCATTTATTGCCATTTGCTTGTACCCTAATAATTTCACAGAATATTATGCATTGGGTACTTATGTGATACATTGCAAGGATTAATTAGCCAAATTACATCACACACCAGAGAGTTACAGATTTTCAAGGCATATAAAGCTGTTTTCTTCAAATAAGCCATGTAAGAAACTAATTTCATTAAAATAAGTGATCAATAAATATACAGGTTTTTATATACAAGCCTTGTGATTCACAGCCTTACACTTTACATTATTTCAGACATGGCCAGTTATTTTTACTTTTAAGTGCAGTGTAATCTCAATGTTATCACCACACGCGATGATCTAGGCTGCAGATGTGTTACCAGGAACATCATACCTGATATTGCTACAACTGACTCACTGTGTGGATTGATCTCTTCTGAAAAGTGTTGTGCACAACATCAATAACTTATATATACAAAAAAAAACAATAGAAAACACTGCCTGGTGAAACCCAAGCCTCAACAGAGCCAGTGCAGCCAAGACCATTCTGTCATTTTGTGTAGTTAGTCACCAACGAAATGTCTTTCAGGAAAGACTTTCAATGTGTTTTTTTTGGTACAATTCTAGTCTGTGTGGCCCCTTTGCATATCAGCCCTCTGCAATTCCATCTGACAAGCACCCTAGTGAGTCTCCCATTTTTAGGGTCACCTCTTCTATA